ACTTGAGTAAAAAAATGTAAAGTAACATACAATAGTGTGAATGTACAAAAAGCAAATGGTACAACCTTGGTGGGCAATTGTGTACAAATGAGGGTTATCACATGATATCTCTTGATCACAGAACTGATTGATACAAGCAACATCAAAGTGAGTGATGTCACAAGTATCAACCGTCTCTATTAAGAAGATAAGAGATGTTCTTTTTGTATCACATGACCAACTCAGAATATCAAAAAGACAGAGAAACCAAAATGTTATGATATTACGCTTATAAATCATATGCTAATTATCCACGGATCATTCTCAATAATCGACAGAAATATTACCATTTTTAGCGATATTTTTTTTAAAACAAACTTTAGTTGGCATAAAGGTATTGCCATTGTACTGGTTTATGAGTTAAACTATCAAACATCTCTGCCAAAGTACAATATACAATTCCCTTAATTTTATTGAAAACATTTCATTCAAAAGTCAACAGTGACTTCCACTAAATTTAGTCATTGTGAATCCTCTCACATTATCAAATTGCGTGAATTTCAGCCAATGAAAATATTACAGTATTCTCGAGTAGTAGCACCAAGCAGACAGTATTAAAAGCAATTGTCAATAATTTCGGACAAATCATAGAAACAGAATAAAAAATTTGAAACCTCTTTCTTTTTCACACTGATGAGAAAGGGGAGTAATTATTTAAGCACTGCTTGTGGCACGTACCATATGGACAATAATAACGTCAACTACCGAATTAGTCATCGCTGGTAAGTGATTCGTCAGTGCTATCACTGTCAGCTATGCTAGGGTAAATATCCTCAGTCCATTGGTAATCATGAGTATCGGCAACCGTCACCTCATCCGTAGTCTCATCCCTCTGTAGTGAGACGTTTTGTAATTGTCCAGCCGGTGGTGGTTTGGTTACAGATTTGAGCGGTTTCAGCGACCGGATTCCTTGCCAGCTGCTCTTCTGAAATGCCATGATACAATGTAAATTACCACCAATTTTCTTGGTCTTGCGTTTCTGAACGCCAAGGTGTACTTTACGTATATTCAAATATTCTGGATTTTGAAGATTCAGGTCTTTGACAATATCCTGCCATCTAAGTTGGAGAAAGAAAGGTTTATTAATTATTAAACAATGTATATTCCTATGAAAACAACAATGACAATGAGAACAACACATATTCTTTCAATATAAGTTCCCCTCCATTAATAATTGTGAATCTAAAAATTACATCAAATAAGTTTTGGACAAAAAATTTTAAACAATCGCCCGATTTTCACGGTTCCATCAATCATATGAATCAATCAGCATTCCTGTAACAACAACTTGCATCAATTTCAAACCCAATAGCGATGTAAATCAGCATATATTTTTACTTAACTATAAAATATGCAAATTAGCAATTATCTCAGCTTCTTTTTTTTGCACATTCCAGAACTTTAAAAAAAAATAGCTCCTAGACGCTTTGACCTTTACTTTTGAAATTTTCACAAATGATTGACAATGTGTCTATCTTCAAAACGCTGTCGGGCATTGTTTTTGGTTGAACAGTGTTACAACAATCGTACAGTCAACTAGCCTGAGTGTTAATTTATGCATAAACTTGAATTAGTGAAATTTGAGCTGCTGCCCTGCAAAATTGACAACTGGTAGACAGTTTTCAAGACGGCACTTTCTTCATAGTAAACAGATGTACCCGTAAACCAATTTTGACAGGAAACAGAAGCCTGGTTTAGAAGCTAATTTTTTTTTTATCACTTTTGACTAAAAAACACATTTTTGTTCATATTTCAAACTACAGTGTCCATAAAAAAAAAATACTTACAAAATTTTAAAATTCATACAATAAGCTTTCCGAAAATATATAGTTTTGTGGACAAGGGAGGTCATCTTGGTTGCCTAATTAACTAATTAAAATACCTGTCAGGTAAACTGCATCTCTACCTTAAACCAACAGAAATTGTCATCTTATATTACGTCATAGCTTGAACTGCTAATAACATATGATTTTGCGTTTGATTTCTCATGCAAATGCATTGCAGCATGTGACTTTGTGTTCCAATTAACATGGAAATGGACCAGAGCATGCGACGCTGCGTTTGATTTTGTCTACAGTGAATACGCGTTTATAGTGGAAAGTCTGCCAAGGTATAATTGGTGAGGTAACTGCCAAATAAATTAATCTTGGCTGGCAAAGACGATTTTAACATTATTATAGAACAATACAGAGGATACACAATTGTACACTGCTCATATCAAATATATCAATGTAGTTTTGATCTCAGTCCAGTTTACTAATTATAAGTGTTATATTTTCTTTGTAGTGCAATGTTGACTTTTTAAAAGTTAATTTGTTTTAAAGATTATTCAGTACCACAACATTTAACATTTAATAAACAAGACATGAATGTCACAGTCCCCGTTATTTGATTACAAAGTAGAACAAGGAACATCTGCAAACAGGTGAATAAATATGTACTCTATGTGGGTACAACTCATCATAAAGTGATTTCCAATAATCTAGTTTTGTACTGACAACGAAAAACTTCCACTGACCCATGAATTTGCTCCTATCGCAGCCACTTTAGGGGCGAATTTTTTCATATTTGGCATCAAAACAGACATTTTCATGAACATTTGTATGGATATAGTAAATAACTGCATTGTTTTAATCTACATATTTTTGAGAGGGTGGGTCATTATTGCCAAAAGCACATCTACTCATGCCAAGGTGTAATTATACCAAATATGAATAAAATCGACATGGTGGTCGTAGAGAACATTTGTATGGATATAGTAAATAACTGCATTGTTTTAATCTACATATTTTTGAGAGGGTGGGTCATTATTGCCAAAAGCACATCTACTCATGCCAAGGTGTAATTATACCAAATATGAATAAAATCGACATGGTGGTCGTAGAGATACATTTGTAGCAGCAAATAACTGCATTGATATAATTTGAATATTTTTGGGAGGGTGTGGTCATTACTGTCAGAAGCACATCTGCTCGTGTCGAGGTGTAATCCTACCACATATGAACTAAATTGGCCCAATGGTTGCTGGGATAAGAGCAAATAACTGCATTGGTTTTATTTACAAATTTTTGGGAGGGTGGGTCATTATCGCCAAAAACACATCCACTCATGCCAAGGTGTAATCATACCAAATATGAATAAAATCGACATGGTGGTCGTAGAGATACATTTGTAGCAGCAAATAACTGCATTGATATAATTTGCATATTTTTGAAGGGCGTGGTCATTACTGTCAGAAGCACATCTACTTGTGTCAAGGTGTAATCCTACCACATATGAACTAAATTGGGCAAATGGTTGCTGGGATAAGAGCAAATAATTGCATTGATCTAATTTGCATATTTTTGGGAGGGTGTGGTCATTATTGCCGAAAGCACATCTACTCGTGTCAAGGTGTAATCATACCAAATATGAACAAGTCATTGTTAAATTTTTGAAAGGTTTCTTTGTGTTTGTCATATTAAAGCGGAGGGGTTGTCGCGAGCGTGTCCTTGAAACTTGAGTCTCAAGTGACGTATACAACAGATTGTTTATTCACATCAAATTTGAACATGTGTTGCGTGACGACCCCTCTGGTTTAAGACAGCAAAGAAAAACATATATCAAAAGTGAAAGCATGTCCAAGTTATCACATTTTAAAGAAACAATATGGCCGCCAGTTGGCCATATTTGATCAAATTGCAAATTGAATTGACATGTATGTACATGTATCCATTTATGACATGCTAAATATCAATGAAAATGATACATGGGTGACAGAGATGCATTGTATAGTAATATGGCCAAAAATAAAAACAGCTTGCATATTTTTGGGAGGGTGTGGTCATTACAGCACATCTACTCATTTCCACATTCAACCATATGTGACTCACTTTACTGGTAGAAAATATGAGCCTCAGGTTTCAAACTGACACACGATGACGAGAGATACAAATCCTTTATTTGGGCCTTACTATGTCAGTTATTTACATTACAAATTAATTTGTCTAATGGGATAACAAATTCAATTCCTGAATGTATAGACATGTTTGAAGTCTGCAAGACAGTGAGTACATTTAGCAAGATGATCACAAAGTTCACTGACATATTGTAATTTATCTTACTTCACACACTGTATTCCTGGATGTCTTCTACTGGTATCACCAATCAGTATCCAGGTCTCCCCTTCATCGTCTTCTAAATCACCTCTGAAAAAAAAATAATTAAGGAAAATAATTATAACTTCACAATTTGTTTCATTTTCTAACCGTGTTAGAAACACAGACTAACAATGTGCACTCGCCTGTATGAATGCATAGTTTTCGAAGGCACATCATCAAATCTAATTTGATGGCATATCATCAAATCCAATTTGATGGCACATCATCAAATCCAATTTGATGGCACATCTTCAAATCCAATTGGCACTCACCTGTATGAATGCATAGATTTCGATGGCACATCATCAAATCCAATTTGATGGCACATCTTTAAATCCAATTGGCACTCACCTGTATGAATGCATAGATTTCGATGGCACATCATCAAATCCAATTTGATGGCACATCTTTAAATCCAATTGGCACTCACCTGTATGAATGCATAGATTTTGATGGCACATCTTCAAATCCAATTGGCACTCACCTGTATGAATGCATAGATTTTGATGGCACATCTTCAAATCCAATTGGCACTCACCTGTATGAATGCATAGATTTTGATGGCACATCATCAAATCCAATTGGCACTCACCTGTATGCATGTACGGCTTTTGAAGGCACATCTTCAAATCCAATTGGACAAAAGTAATGGTTTTGGCAATGGTAAATGTAAGTAATGGAGGGATCTTTCAGTCCAGACTTCAGTAGTCGTAAAGCTTCTTCTGATGTCCTTCCCATTGTTCTGCCTTTGCCATGTGGTTTGTACAGGTAATAGGTTCTCCCACGAACATTGTAGAAATCATTGAGTTGTTTAAACCATCTGAAAAAGCAATAGATTTATAGCTTAATTATTAGTATCTACATAGCGATACAATAAATTGGCGTTACTTTGTAAAATTTGCATTCATTTCATTGAACAGAAATTGATCTCCCACATTCAGAAGGTATTGAGATAGCATTTCAGTCTAAATCAAATTTAACATCTGCTTCTGTGTGAATACAGAATATAAGCAGTAATCTTAAAACAAAATATCGAAAAATCAAACTTTGTAAAAGTCAGGTAATCTGCTAATTATCCCTTAAGTTATCTATATACTAAATTTGATCAAAATTCTGTTTACACAGCGAAATAAGCAACTAATATGCAAATTAGCTACTTAATATGCATAGATATGACCACAAAACTAATCATATCTGAACATGACCTCAAGGTACCTGTACCTATATACCAAATTTAATCAAACTCGGCTCAGAATTTTTTTTGAAATTTTTCCTACATGTACAGAAATAAGTCAATTAAGATGCAAATTAGCTACTTATTGTGCCATTAAGCCAAGATACCTATATAACAAATCTGAAAAAAAATTCACTAAGATAATTAATATGCAAATTAGCTACTTAATATGCTTAGCCATGGCCATAAAACTAATCATATCTGTGCACTACCCTAAGATACCTACATGTATGTATTAAAGTCTGTTCAGAAATTCTGAGAATAAGCTAAAAATTAATCTGAAAAGTGGAAGTTCAAGAAGAAGTTTCTTTATGAAAAGTGGACAATAAATGGAACACAGTCATAAATCATACGAGCTTAATAATATACAAATAAATAATTTCTCTTTATCTAATAAATTGGCTGACAGAGTAATAACAGAAAACCATTATAAGCCATCTGTTTTTATTTTTAACAAACTGCAAAATATATATCTAAAAATAGGATATGCCCTCAAGTAACACGCCTCTACTGTCTTCTGTTTTTTTCTTTTTACATATTACTTATATTTTGTTTCATTTGTATGATATTTTTTTTTTATTTTTTATTTCTTGTTTATTTTTATGTATATCTTATTTTGTATTGTTTCAAATACCCTCACATTGGCTTTCTTGATTACCAAACCTTTAAAAAAAAGGCCAGAAAAAAAATAAATAAAATGCATATTTAGAAATAATGAAAAAATTAAAGCCGAAACTAGGATCCTATTTTAAACCAGGTTGCATGGAAATCATTTTTGTCTCTGTATTCGTTCTAATAACCTTTTCTTGCAAGGATAATTCAATATATAGCCATCCAGAGATCAGAGAATATAAATTTCCGCACAATACAACAAAATTAATTTACCGATACAAGTTTATTTTGACAAATTTACACAATAGTACGAGTCCGGGGGGAAAACCATGAAATAATGTAACTGTAATATCATTCGGGAGCGAGTCACTGTGACATCTTTGAAAAATGGTTTACATTATTTTATTATGGATTTTTCTATATTTATAATTTCTTTGATGATTTATGATATATATTTGATCAAATGGAAACAATATTTTGATGGAAATATTGAATTAGGTACATAGCTTAATTTTGTTAATGTTACCTTAAGTTGATATTTTGGTGTTTGAATAGTTTTAAGAAAGTTTGTTCCTGTTTCGAATAGAACTACACATACTTATTCACATTACCAGTGTCACTAGCTTATATACAGGTATTCTTAGGATGAGAGGTTATTATAACTGACTTTTAAAGCCACCTGCTGAAAGCCTCTCTGGAAGCCAAAACAAATGGGGAAACAAGGCACCAGTAGCCAATGAGTTAAACCATGAACAAGCTGAACTGGAAAATTTAAGTACTGTTTCTGGACTATGGTAGATACTGCTAGAATTCAGAACTAATCTCATAAAATACACAGCTGCAGACTTTAATAGTTTATACACATGTAAAGTTTAGACATTTTTAATTTATATGACAAGTGTATAGAAATTATTTATTATATTCATTTGAATCACAGCTTTCCCTACCTCATTAATGTGGAATTACCAGTAAATGGACCAAATCGGATTTCACCAAATGGTGGCTTGAATCCAAGTACTGCCAGCGCTTCTTCTTGAGTTATTGGCTCCATACTATAAAAAAAAATGAAAAAAACATGTGACCAAGCTCAGTGAGGTGGCAATTTTGAGATAGAATCGTGCATCAGAAATGGTCTGCAAACCACTTAACTTCATGAAAAAAATGTTTCATGAATTTTTCAAGGTATTGAAAATCATGAAATTTCGTAGACAAAATTTGACTGGGGTCCGGGAACAAATTTCAGAAAATATGGATATACCAATCAATATATTAATACGGTAGATCAATCAAATTGTGATTATTAAATGGTCAATAGATAAATTACAGATTGTCTGACCGTATAAATTATGACAAACATTAATTTCCTGCACTACTTAGTAAACACTAATTACAGAAATCTAATCGATTTTAACATGACATCTTTATTTTGAAGATTATCGGTATCAATTTATGGATAACAATACATGTATATTGAATTGACTCGTGTCAAAATGGTTGCATTGACACCATGTTTAATTGTCATGTACGTGCCTTAATGTCACATGTAATTACTAAATTTACCCTAACACGTTTCATACATTCAAGTCAACTTAGAACTTTGTTCCCTCACTTGGAAACAAATACTAGTAACTTGATAGCTTATATAAACTCAGCGATGAGATACTGTAAAATACTTTATTTGCACTCGGAATTAATTTTTGCTGAAGAGATGATTCAGTGAAAATAAAATACAGCAATTAAAACATCCAAAAAGTCCTTTCAGTGAAAATTAATTCAACTAAATAAATTATTTCACAGTACACACCTGCCAATTTGTACTTTTGTTTCCTTTATCAAAATAAATCTGCATAATTGTTTTCAATATTTTTAACAATTTTCATCAAGATTTTGGCAGGAAAAATTATGGCATTCAAAAGTCATACTTGTATGACTTCATGGTTTTTGACTCCTATGTGTGTAACACACAATGGGAGTTTTGGAATCAGCGTGTCTGTGTGTACATTTATATGTATGTGTGTACAATGTATGTCTGTTCCACCATTATCTTGAATACCATTTGTCTGATTTAAATGAAAACTTGGTAAATGGATACCCTGGGACAAAGCACAGCCCTGATTAGGCTTGGAGTTGAGATATGTGCATATTAATTACCTAATTTGCATAATCATTTATCAATTTTAGGTTTTTCTGCTGACATTCCAAGAACAAATCATCACAGTTCAATAAAACTTGATAGATAGATGCTCTTGGACAATGCCCAGACCTGATTAGTTGAATTATTGTTGAATTGCGTGCATACTAATTACTTAATCTGCATAAATTAGCCAAATTACATTCCACAGATTTCTCCAGTGCTATCACGAATATTGAGTTATTGTCGTTGTATTTAATGTTACAGTGATTGCTTCGATAGCCGAGTGTCATTGCATAAATTATGTTAATTAGGGTCAATCTACATCCACAACATTGTCGCCATTGACAATCAGCATTAGTATTACTACTGCGATACTGAGTGATTGTTCGTCGTCGTCCGCCGACCGTGTCAATGTTTTACTTTTTCGACTACTTCTTGAAAACTACAAGGCTGAATGCTTTGATACTTGGTGTATATGTACCTTAGGTAGACCTCTCTGAGATTTGTTCATTTCATGATGATATCTTCAATTCTCTAATTTTGGTGAATATTTTTGTCATTTTTAGTAAAAAGTGATATTTTTGACTTCTTGTTAAAAAACGCAAGTCCAATTGCTGTGATATTACAAATATAGGTACTACATGTGGACCTCTCTTAGATTTGTTCATTTTTCAATGATATCTTTGATTCTCTAATTTTGGTGAATATTTTTGTCATTTTTGGTAAAAAGTGATATTTTCGACTTCTTGTTGAAAACCGCATGTCTGACTGCTTTTATATTACATATTGGTACTACATGTGGACCTCTTTCAGATTTGTTAATTTCGTGGTGATATCTTTAATTATTTAATTTCGATGATTATTTTTGTCCTTTTTGGTGAAAAGTGATATTTTTGAATTCTTGTTGACAATGCAACCAATATTAAAGGCATCAGACAAGTTTTATGACCAATGTATCAGGGAGTCATATATGGTCATGTGACGTCATTAATCAGTATTACTGTAATATCCCTGCATCCAGTGTTATAATGAAGGTATTATACAAGAAGATATGACTAAATGTAATCACCTTTTTGTAATTTTGTCTAAAATTAAATTTGAATGATTTGATGGTATTTGGTAAATGACAAACTGGCAATGACATATCTTTTTTTAACCTTCACAAGAAAACTGTTCAAAATTTAGTTGATCTGAAGAAATTGACAATTTGTTGTTTATCTATTAATGACATGTATTGAAGCTGAAAAATAACATTGTACAATGTATCATTAATTTATTGCTGCATTTTTACTTGTGTTGATAATGATGGTGGGAGTGAGCATAAATCTGTCATGATCTTTAGCAACCTTGATACTTGTGAGATCAGGTTTGCATTTAGTAAATTGACTGTAACATTAAATTGGCTCTCCTTGGTCAAAAAGCAGTGGAGTTTTACAATACATATGGCTGCCAGTCAGCCATATTTGAGTGAATAATTTATATAACTTGCATTTAGTAAATCTTATTGACTGTAACATGAAATTGCTGCTACATGGTCATGTCTAAGAAAAAGATTGCTGATGCATTTTAAAAGCAGTGGAGTTTTACAACACAAATGGCTGCCAGTCAGCCATATTTGAGTGAATAATTTATATAACTTGCATTAGTAAATCTTATTGACTGTAACATGAAATTGCTGCTACATGGTCATGTCTAAGAAAAAGATTGCTGATGCATTTTAAAAGCAGTGGAGTTTTACAACACAAATGGCTGCCAGTCAGCCATATTTGACTGTATTAAACATGGAATTGTCGCTCCTCGGTCATTGTCTAAGATAAAGATTACTGATGCATTTAAAAGCAGTGGAGTCTCAATTATTGCACCCAGTACTAACACCTTCTTGAAATTGGCCATGCTCATGTTTTATCAAATACTGGCAGACAAGATCCCATTGTGAATTTTTAAAATGCTTTTTCAGACAAAAACTGAAAATAACAGACAACATTGAAGTCTATCTTTTCAGTATAAGGCAGCTATACAACATAAATAACTGCTGACTTTACCAGAGTTCAAACCTAGGTATCAATTTCTATACAGCTACAGCAGAATTGAACTCATAGCGCTCACACTCAGCACTGAACCCTACAAAGAATATGCTCAGGTATTTACCAAGTACTTTTGTCATTTACGAAAAAAAAACCTGATGATCTGCATTTAACAAAACATGATGTGACACATCAATGGTAGTAACAATCCATTAAAGAACGGTGAATTCCCTCAAGACAAAATATATAAAATGTTAAAAAAGTTTAATGATGGGGTAGGTAGGGAGGTATAAATGGCTTCTGAAAAGGCTTATTATATAGTATAATGGTTGGCTGAGCTTTTATTCCTAAATAGTAAATGAACACGTAATTGCATTACATCTTCCCTGTGAGTTTAATATCAAGTTTAAAAAATATATAAAGTTCAAACAGTCATGGCATATTAGAGACATATCTCCGTAATGGCATTTATTAAAATAAAATACTATACTATCGGCTATTTTGAATCCAAACTAAAGAACAAAATTATGTGCATTAAGGTCCCATAATGTACACTGTACAAGGTTGAACGAATATGCATGACCTACATTCAGAATGACAGAAATGTTTTTTTTTGATGAATTCTTAAAATTAAAATGGCCACCATCTTTAATTGTATCATCAAATGAATAAATGTGCATGACGTATGATGTTTATATAAAG